TGCACTAATGGAAAACTGCGTTATCAGTCTTGGGCCTTGCTAGTGATAAAATCTCATCACAAAATGTCAGATCTAATACTCCCCTCTGTCCCAATCCTTTCCTCAGCCCCTGGAAAATGTTAGTTGACAAGACAAAGTAGGATTTGGCAAATTGTTCTATTTGAGAAGATGGGAAGAAAATATTTCTGATTTCTCAGTCCAGCCTGGCTTGCTGCCCTTTTTTCTCTGCCTTTTTGGGAGGCAGGGAGATTGACGAAGGGAATAGAGCAAGTAGGCTGAAAATTACTAGTTGTTTTGAAATTAAAATGTAATTGTGTTTTTAAAGGACCCAAACTGAAAGGAAGTATCTGTGAGTTATGAAACAAAATGTTTCAATTGTCCTAAGGCAGAGTCAGTTTGCTTTTTAATTTGCATCTCTAGAGTATTTCTAAGAATTACCATTATTCGTTCAGAATTAAAGAAAATACTGTAAGATTAAAAATAAAAATACCACCAAATTGCTGTACCTATACTGATTACTGGTTTTATTGGCATCAGTGGGAGTTTCCCAAGAGGCTGGTGGAACTGGGATTGGATCTTTGATCTGTTTGCTCCTGGTATTATTGACCTCTGGCTCTATCAAATCTGGTTGATCTAAAAAAGTTAGAGGGAAACATGGGAAAAGATCAAGCAAGTGGTATTAAAGCTGGCTCCAAATGTAGCCCATCTTTATCCTTAGCAGCAACCTCAAGACTGGGAAGAGAGGTTTTGTGAGACCTCTTTCTCTACTAAGCAGCAGCTTTGTGGTTGCATGACTAGGTGGATGATGTGGAAAGTGTTTTCCCAATAAGGGGGAGTGACTAGCCATTGTGCAGAATTTCTGGAAAGAGGAAGGATGTCTTAAGCTAATTCTAACTTTCTTAATTTCCCCTTGAGTCCTCAATTCCACATAAATGTTCAACCACAGGCACTATCCCAATTGCCTAATAGCCTAATTCTCGTGCCCAGTAGCATGCTCTGTTGATCCTTGAGCATAGTCCTGCTATGTACAGACTGTCCATTGGTTTTCTACAATCTACTTGATTTGTGAATTAAAGTGTAAAATACTAATATTGCAACAGTAGGATTTTGTTGGAGTCTCAAAAAAGATAAAACAAAGGGCATGGGGTGAGACAGTTATTTTCTTGATTTTAGGACAAACTATAGAATAAGAAAAAACACAATTAACATGAGGGGTTTTTAAGCTAGCCTAGAGATTAATAATAATTTAATAGCTTTTAAAAGATCTTAGATAGGTGTTTTGCTGGATCCTCTATCCCACATTGCCCTCTAGTGAGGACATTTCAGAGCAAATCATGCCTTCTTGCAGCCACCAGGATATGAAATGTGGTATTTTAATAACTGAGCTTGTTTCTCAAGCCTTGTAACAGCTCGTTTCTGATGTGGTGGTGTTGTGATACAACAGTGTGAGGAGGGGCAGAATTCATCTGTCACCTGTGCTGTCACCTGTATGTGCACTGGCCGCAGCTTTATCTATATAATAAAGCACATTTGCTTTATCTGAGCTATCTGCCTCTGCAAGCATCTTCCTGCTGCTGCTGGACCACCAACCACAGGTCTCTGCTCTCTTCTGCTTTGGGAAAAGGGGAAAATATTCCCTGGGGATGGTTTGGTGAAGGATGATCTTTTTTCATACTTGTCTTACTCTTTGCTCCATGAACATACTCCAGTTCTGTGGTTTTACCTGTGTGTACATATGGTCAGACAGCCCTGCCTGTGGTTTGGAGATCATCACGGGAGAAACTTCCATCCCTCTTTAACCCAGCACTGGGGCATCCAAAAGTGACGTGTAGAGGATTAGAATTGGCCTTGTCCTTCTGCCTACGTACCTGTGTGACAAGACACATTGGTGCCACAAATCAATTTCGGTGTGTTCCCAGTTTTATAGAGCTGTTAAACACAGAAAGTCATCAACCAGTAACAGGTTTTTAAAACTAAACTAAACTAAACAAACAAACAAAAAAATCAAATCAGGGAAACAAATATCTGCTGCCTGTGTAGTGCAGGTCATGCAAGGTCTCACCTAAACCTGCCCTGTGGGCCCCAGAGCTGGCCACTCCTGGAGTGTGGGTGCCCCAGATCAGCTGTCTGATGGCCACACAGTCCTTTTACTCACACACAGGTCCCATCAGGGCAGTGGCACAGCAGCTCAGCAGCCCCCTTGGTTCCTTGGTGCCTGTGGGAACCCGTTGCAGCCCAGGGTGCTTTGAAGTGCCATCCCTGTGGATGTGAACCCTCAGACAGCTCTGGGTGCTGGATGCCAGGGTCTGGGCTGAGGATCTGGGTCTGGGAAAGAGGAGATGCTCAGGTGTGCCTGAACTTTCCTTTCCTTTATACATTCTAGGGCAGAGAAATAAGAGCAAAGCAATGTCAAGAGTCCTGAAGTCCAAGGGCTCTTCATCCAAAACATGGGCTCTGTTTGTCACTGCCCCAACCGATATGTGTCCTTATGTGCTTGACCATAATTATGTAGAAATTCATAACTAATCTTCAGCCATCAAAGATTAACCTGCTCTTTGATTGCTGGCTTGTTCATCAGGGTAGTAGCCATGGCCATCTCTGCTAGATGCTGTCTGTTCAAGCTCTTTGACTAAAAACTTAACAGTTTTAGAACAGTTCAAAAACCTGTGATTTCCTGCTTGCAGACAGGGAAATGGCACAACCTGATTGTGCATGTGGCAAATATGTGGGTGATGACAGTACCCTGTTGTCATTGCCATCCTCCCAGGGGCTGTGGGACCCCCAGGAACACCGTCATGTCGGGCGAGCCGGGGTGAGCAGCGCTGTCACCCACCCTGCTCCGCATGGCACTTGTGGGCTGAATGACAAACACTAATGCCATCTAGTGACCAAAAAAAAGGTGACAATTTTTTGTTTTGTTATTTTGGTTTGGATATTTTATAAAATGCCATTGGAAATCTTGTAGCCCCAAGTGAGGCTGCCCTTGGGGTTTGGGAAGGAGGGAAATGATGCTGGGTGTGCTGGGAAAAAAAAAATCCCTTTTTCTCTTCTCTCTCCAGCAGTCTCTTCCCTCATTTCACATTCCATGAAGTGCTTCTGCATGTAACCAGGGACTGGGATCTCCCATATAAGGCTTTATAGATACCCAAGGGAACAAGGCACAGGCTTCCTAACCAGCTCTGATGCTCAAGGAGCACAAATTCCCCAATTTACTGCTGGATCATGGGGCACAAACCCAACATCCCAGGACAAGGTGACTGCAGATGGCTGGTTCACTAGTGACATGGGCATCATGGGCAGAGACTCTGGGGACTAATTTAAGCTGGCAGCACGGCTGCCACACAGTGCCATTGCTGCAGCTTTGAGCTTGGCTGAAATAGGGCAGGGGATGGCAGCTCTTGCTGCTGCACTGACAGTGACTCCTTACTGTGGCTCATACAACCTGTCACTTTTTTTCCTTCCAGCACCTTTGTTTCCCCCTCTTGCTGCTGTAGGTGATGAGAGCTAGGAAGGCATTAACACACTGGGTTTCTGTGTGAGCAGCTGGCTGGAGGCACTGCTGCTTTGTACCTAGTGCCAACAACCTGGAGGAATTAATTTGCACCCTGCATTTTATAAATGAAGGTGCAGTTGTTTCTGACCATACCAGTTTATTCTGCTTGACTAAACCGTCACCAGCAGGTGTGGTTTGCCTTGTGTGGGGCTGGTGGTCTCCTGGGAATATTTTGCAGTTCTGGTAATTTCTCCAGCTCCTGAGAAATGCAGAGAGAGAACTTGGGAATTAAAAGTTTCCAGATAAGGAAGCTGAAGGCTGAGATAGCTGCAATGAAGTGCATTATGGATGCACTGAGATGCCAGGCAGCACCCCCGGAGAGATTTGGAGGGAGATGTGGGATGTACCCCGAAGGAGAGTGAGAAAAGCACCCAGATGCAAATAAGCTCCTTCATGGGCCGTTTCTGAAGTGCAGTGACACCAAGACTGGTGCCAGCACAGGCTGCCCCCCTCGCCAGGCACATGGGTCCATCAGCACTGTCTTGCCCCAGAGGGAACAAGCAGGCTTGTGCTCTGCACTGGCCAGACCTTGTCCCTGCTTCCTTCAGAAAGCCATTTACAAGGGTCCTTGGGGACTTTCTGTTGTTTTTCCTAGATGTTGTTGTTATCCCAAATGTAAAGGTATCAAATATGTTCTTATTGTCTAATTTACAAATGTTTTGTGTTATTTTTGCTGCTTCTGTTTCTGGATTATCTTTGTGTCCCCCTGCCTTTCTGCCCTGGATAATTGAGAGCTGGCAGTGTGCCTGTAACGTTCCTGTTTCAAGGCCAAAATGGGAGTGAGAATAAATGCTTCTAAATACTGTATTGAAACAAATAACTAATTTACTCATAATAGCTCTTCTTTTGGCGTTACACTGGTAATTTCATGCTGGTTTTGCAGGGGGAGTGAGCAGTTGTAAGAGGTTGGAGGAGCCACGTGCCTTGGGGAATATTTGCCATGTGGGTATGATGGGGAGAAGGGATTCATGGATTTGGAAAAGTGCTCCTACTTCTGTAAAGGGACTTTATCTAGCCAGCTGTGACAATGCTCATTTCATAGATTTGCCGGCCCTAAAGTCTGAAACTTCTGCCTACCAGGAGTTTAGCTGGAGACGGCAAAGGCAAAGATTTCCCCATGGGGAGAAGGCAGGTCTGCTTTATCTCATGCTTTTGGGTAAGACAGACACCTTTTAGAGTAACCAGCTGACCAAAACACAGCATTATGTCCACACTGTCTCCTCAGCTCAATAGAAATCCTTAAGCATTATCACACCTCCATCTGTTGTTTTTTCTGAAGAGATATGGAAAAGCAGAAGACATTTATGGTGCTCTTTTGCCTGAAGCACTCAATACAGAGACATAGCCCTATCTATTTGGCATCCTGCATCTTGCAGGAGTCAAGCAGAACCACTTGCAATGAATAACCAGTGCCTAGTACTAATTTTTTCTTTTCTCTCTCCTTTAGGGATCCTGTTTACGATGCTGGTATTTGGACCAGCCTGTGGATTTATCTTGGGCTCCTTCTGTACCAAAATCTATGTGGATGCTGTCTTCATTGACACAAGTAAGGAGAAATGGGTTTGATTTCAAATCAAATACACTGAAGTTGTGCCAGCAGGATGTTGATGCTCACAAGCAGGAAACTGCCTGTTGTTCCATCTTGAGTGCCTCCTGCATGTGTGGGTGTCACTTTTAGAGGGGTTTTATGACTGAGATTCAAAAGTTTTCAGTTCTCTTCTGATAAACAGATTTGTAGCCATTAAAAATTGTTCTCTTCCTTTGGTTTTTCTACGGTGAGATGAGGTTCACCCAGCGCTTAGAGGACACCTTGAAATATCACTGTGGCAGGGCAGACAGCTACCCATGCACATAGTCATACAGGGGAGCTGTATCCAGGGCACAGGATGAAATCTGGAGAGCTGCCACCCCAGAACCTGTGGGAACCATCCAGGTTCTGGTGGAGGTACACCAGTAAGACCCACACCCAGCACCTTCTGCCAATGACCCTGCTTCAGTCCCACAGCATTATTCCTTCTTCCTAAAGCTGTGCTAATTATTGCTCACCTTCACTGCACTTGGGTTAAATCAGATTGTTTGTAAATTGACTTTTTGTTCATTAAGACAAAAATCTGCAAATTCTGCTTTTACTTGTACCTGCACTATGTGTTCTTTGCCATGAGAGGGCAATATATAACAGGCAGTTCTCCACTGCTCCCTCAGCCCTCTGGCTGCAAACCTGATGCTTTTCTTTTCCCTCAGTTATTCAGATGCTTTTTCACAGCTCTATCGAATCCTCCAGACCCTTCTGCATGGGTATTGTCCCCTTTGAGGGTGCATTTCAGCTCTGTGATGTTGCAAATACATGATCACAGGACTCAGAACAGAATTGTGCAAATCTGGGAAAGAGTTTTTCTTTTCTGCCTTTTCTTGGTCTCACATAGACATGGCAGCTGAAGAAATCTAAATAATATGAAATGAAAAAGAAGTATCTTCTTTTGATGGCTGAGACTTTCAGCTGCAGTTTGATTCAAACACCACTGGCCCCTTTTCATTCCTTGGCTTTTCCAAAGCCTCTTTTGGTTCTGTAGGCAGAGAGGTTTGTTTGAACCCTGTGAGATATTTAACCATTATATAAGTATGTAAGTATAATTTACACTAAAATATGAATCTACAGAAGAAAATATTTCCTCTCCCAGGAGGTGAAGTTGTGGAACTCCTCACCATGAAGTGTTAAAAATTTACAAATGGATTCAAAAGCAATAGGACAAGTTTATAGAAGAAAAAATGAACATGATAAAATCCAGATTATAAAGCCCCCAAGCCACAAATCACAAGAACAATATCAAGTATGTGCTGACTTTATTCTTGTGGACTTTCTGGACAGCTGCAACTGGTTACCATCAGAGCAAGATGCTGGCCTAGATAAAAAGTTAATTTGATGTCTTCTGGTCATTTTTAATATGAGACATTGCTCTGTATTTACACCTCAAAAAGCCCCAGACAAATATGGAACTACAGAGGAGAGCAGTGGAATGTTTATCACTGAGAACACAGAGGGGCTGTGGCTCAGCCACCTACAGGGTGGATGTAGTGCTTTCCAGTTGCAGGTCCAGCTGGCATTGGCCATGGTCCATTGCTGTCATGCAAAGGCTGGGGCACACATGGCCTCTGTCTGGTTTTGTATGGGAGCTTCCATGTTGCAGCTGGATCTGCTTTGCAGCTCAAGGTGTCACGAGGTTGAGCCTCATTCTGCTCCCTGTTTTGGGCAGGTGTGGGATGCCAGGGTATGCTGGTGTACTGGCCTCCATACAGGAGCTATTTTAGGAAGGGAATATGAAGAACACCCTGATTTACCTGGCTCTTCGCAGTGCTATGTTCCCAAGATCCTGAAAAAAATGCACTTCAGGCAGGAGAAAATAATAGCAGAAGAATCCAGTCCCTCCACAACACTATTTTTCAAACTTTATCTGTATTTGAGAGCTACATGTTATTTTCCCTTAGGAGAAAAGAGTTTCCTTCTATCTCTGCTTGAGAGACAACTTGATTGCCTCACTTGAGACAGATTTTTCAGTGGCAGTAACCAGACAGACATCGTGAACAGAGGAGCTCGTTATTCCAGCCACGTGGACCTGGGTCTCCCCCAGGAGTCAGCTCAGGCACTGGGCACCCTTGTGGCTGTGGCAGCGAGGCACCTGTTGGGGACACAGCTTTTTGTGTCCTGTTGTTTATTTTTATTCCCCTAAACTGACTCCAGACTCTTCTTATGCCTTATCTCTGCTGAGTGATGGTCTACAGGATACTCTTGCCTTTTACTTTGCTTTTCTTCATTTTCTGATTAGTTCTCTACATTCCCGAGCCCATTTCATACAGTGGGTGAGTTTTTTTTCAATATTTAGGATTGTTTCACCCTCCACAGGTGCCCCTAAAGCCCATCTTAATGCCCATCTGTCTTTTGTTGAAAAGGGCTGTGAATTCAAAGCTGGGAGAGCATTGACCTCCTGGGAAAAAGGGGTAAACCAGGATGGAGATGCAACATCCTTGTCTGTGCTGCTGCTTCTCTGTGCAGATCAGTAGGTGTGTCAGCTGTGTGTGCACAGGTGACATGCTGGGACAGGCATGTCCGAAACCTTGGTGCCAGCACAGGAGACACTGATGTGTATGTGGTATCTTCCTAGAGCTGGCAGAGCCAAGACGCTGGAGAGGAGCTCTGATTACAGGGTGTTGCAGAAGCTGGTGATGCAGAAAAGGTGATGGGAGCTTGTCCTAAGGATCTCTTGGACCTGGAGGTCATTACACAGTGGTGGCTCACACAATACAGGCGTGGGGTGGACTGCAGGCCCCCACCTTGTGTCTTGTATCCCTTAACAGCCAACAAAGCCCCCAGCAACTGTCTTCCTACAGGATCATCACACTGTTGTCTTCCCCTCCCCATGGCCAAGCCACTGACCCGTGTGTGCCCTCACAGGTAAGCTGGACATAACCCCGGACGACCCTCGGTGGATCGGTGCGTGGTGGGGAGGCTTCCTGCTGTGTGGTGCCTTACTCTTCTTCTCGTCCCTGCCGATGTTCGGGTTCCCGCAGTCGCTGCCCCCACGGCCGGAGCACGCCGGGGAGAGCGAGCAGGCCATGCTTCCCGAGCGGGAATACGAGAGGCCCAAGCCGAGCAACGGGGTCCTGCGGCACCCGCTGGATGGGGAGAGCAGCACGACCTGCTTCCAGCAGCTGCGAGGTGAGGCACCGGCTCTCGTCGTGTTTTCCGTGGGGATCAGCAACAGGTTAACAGCTGTTCGGGTTTATAATTGGTCTCTGATATTTGGGCTGTCTACCTCTATCTCTGAAATTCCAAAAAAAAATTGCCATCCTGAAATTTCAATCCTTTGCTTGTAATTATCTCTGGCATTGTCCTCATTTGAAAGAGAGACTTTGTTCCACTTGAAAGCTTTGTGGGTTTTTTTTTAACTGCAAAGCTTCAGAAATGCACGATAGTCCTGTAGAGTTGATAAAAAAATGAAGGGGAATACAGTTGCCAGAGCAATTTGTGATCTTCTTTCCAGTCTACTGTCCTGCTCCCCTCTGCCTCCCGAAGTGGAGAGCGAGCCAGCAAGGGCAATAAAAAGAAATTGGGAGCTCCCAGCATCTGAGCTACAGATTAGTGCAATCCCAGATACAAAGCAATCAGTGCTGGGCATCACCACAGCTCTTAAAATGGGATGGGGAAGAGGTAGATATCAGCCCAGAATAGCAGCAATATGACAGGGCAGAGCATCACTTGTAGCAAATTAGAGAGAAAATCCCACATCATGTCCTGCAGTGATGGAAATGGAGCTGACTCTAATTAAAGTCAGCTGAGGATCCAGCATTTCATGGGAGAGTGTGGGCAGATCTCCTTTCTGTAGGCTGCACTAGAAAATCCTTCATCTGAGAGGGTGGTTCTGTAGCACTGGTGGCTGCTTCCCACTCCCTGTTGCTGTGGCAGAGCGGGTTTCATTACTGCCTGATGTGTTCAGATAAACTGGGAGTTGAAGGAGGTACAAGTGGGAAGGAAGAAGAGACTTTGGGGAAAAAACTATTTTCTAAACATAAAAGTGCCTTGAATAGTTGATGTAGTTGTTCATTAATGGAAGGTCAAAGATGTGAAATTTTGACTTGTTGAGAAAATTCAAAAGAAAGGTAAAGGGATAAATTGTTTTAAACTTTGTCAGTAAAATTAATTTCTTCGTCCTTTCATCCTTGTTGCAAGGATTTTCTCTATTTTGAGGAAGGGACTTTTCCCATGGTATGTCCATATGGATAATTCTGTGGCTTTTGTTGTGTATGCACCAGAGTGTCTGCTTCTGGCCACTGAGCTTTTGGAGGGGGCACTGGAAATTTTTGCAGGTTTTCATATAGAAAAAGGAAAGTATGACATATCCCTGCTGCATGGAGGGGCAGCAGTTCAGCCTGAGGATGGTGCTGAGCATCTTGCACACAGGGAGGCCATGACGGGGTTCATTGAGCATCTGTTGCTCATTGAAGTAGAGAAATTAAGCTGCCACATCCATATGCTTCAAGTATTGATTACATCAGGAGGCACCACAGTCTTCCACATTAGTACTCTCATTGCAGGTAACCCCATTTTGGATCTGTCAGTATTCCGGGAGTCTCTTTGTAGATGGACTTTGAAATATAATTTATATCACATCAAATAAGACAAGGAATGACCTTTTTAGTTATTCCTTTGAGGCTGTCACAGGTAACACGGTGTTGGTAGCTGACACCTCCTTTTAAGTCCCTTGCCACTATTGTCACAGTTGGAATGTGGTCAAGAGTTGTGTTCCTAAAGTGCCTGCCTGGAAGTGTTCAGACGTTCCACAAGGGAAGGCAAACACACCTCATCATTCCTGATGAACAGTGTTTCAGGTGATGGTTTAATCTTTCTGTGGATATACATTGTTTTGCTAGCACCTGAGATATCTATGTGCATTCCTGTGTGGTGGGACCTAATATCCTTAATCTATTTGTCAATTGCATGTATTTTCCTTTGGGGAAAGTTAGACTGTTTAGTCTTTTTCCTAGGATAAGAAGGACTCTTAATTATATACAGAGGCTAAAAATATGTATTGTGCATGCATAGTCATGACTTCTGTCCTAATATGGGCCTTGGGCTTTACGTGAATTTGGGATGCTGAACAGAATCATAGAGTCACAAAATGACATGAGTTGGAAGGGACCTTAAAGATCATCTAGTTTCAACCCCACTGCCATGGGCAGGGACACCTTTCACTAGACCAGGTTGCTCAGAGCCACATCCAACCTGGCCTGGAACACTTTCAGGGATGGGACATCCAGAGCTTCTCTGGGCAACAGCAGAGGATTTACCTGTGCATGGGTTTGGGGGTGGAGATGCTCATTGGGGTTAGTATGGCTGTAACTGACTTCATTTCTATCAGGCATTGTGTCTGTAGCTTGTCCTGCGTGGGGCTGTGCCTGCTGTAAGTCTGTGTCTCAATGGAGGTGTGGATTGTCCATTTCTTGGGCAAGTGTGGGGAGGAAGAGTTCTTTCTCTGGACTGATTGTGTGAATACCCCTTGTATCAACAACACATCCTTAGAGGCTGAACTGCATCTCCTTTTGGGCTATTGAAGGGATTTTATTGCTTTTTTCTATATTTTTTCCAAGCCTTGCAGTGACTGCCACAAGAGGGAGGACATGGTGGGAGAGGGAGCAGGGCGGTGTCAGCTGGGGACATGCTCCGAGCCGGGTCACGGCTGTCAGCCAGCGACACGGCACGGCTGGCACGTGGGAGGATGCTCCAGACACTACAAGATCTGCTGAAAGTCAGTGAGATGCAGGGCTGGCTGAGATTCCTTGGCTTTCTCTAGCCTTAGCATGCAGAAAACTCCAGGACTTATATAAAAAGAACTCTCTCAAAGTATCAATCTTTTACATCTCTGTCAAGGTCTAAGCAGGAGGGAGGGCCCAGCTTTGGGGGAGGCATGGCATCTCTTCCTGTGGGGTATTTTCATGCCAGGGAAAGTAGCATCCTTAAGAGGAGCTTCAAACTTGAAAGGAAAGCGGTGCCTTTGAACAGCACGAGGTGAAGAGGCAATCAAAGGCAGTGGAGGCGGTGGGGGGCTGCCACGGCTGCTCTGCACAGGGGCGCTGCAGCTTGGGAAGGAAAGCTTTGGGACAGTCCTGGGAGCTGCTTCCCATTGTTAAATTGGCATGAGAATGCTGCACTGCTTTGCCTGACTAGTATTTCAGTTAAGCAAAGCAAATCCATTTGGGAGCTCAGGGAAGCAAAGGATTAATAGCAGGGAAAGGATGGATAAATGCTGCCATTGCTCTCTGCTCTTGCCTGGCAGCCTGGAAGGGTTGTTCCAGCCCTGGACTCTTTGTATGGTCTGTGAAAGCACTTCAGGCATGGACTCTAGTAGTCCTGGGGGCCACAGCTTTGCTTTCTTACCTCTGGTCTGCCTTGGGGACCTCTCTGCTGTTTGGGGTCGGAGATGATGCTCGATGTCAGGGCACCTGTGCCCTCTGCTTGTGTCTGTCCAACATCTGCCCTCTTACTCGGTGTTAACATGCTGCCTCTAACCCACCACCTGCTCTACAACGTGCTTGGAAATATTTTGTTAAAATCCTTTCTTTTCGTACAGAAATGTCACATCTACTGAATTGAGCGGTCAGTTCTGATGACATTTGATTTCAGAATGCTTCCTTGGCTTGATCTTTAACACCCCTGAAATGTTCTACTATAAATACATTTTGTTTTGCAATTATTTAAACTAGAAATTTTTTACATTCTGCCTGTCTGTCTAGCAAGAGAGATTAAAACCCTAAAAGGATTGAAATTGATATGGAATACTTCAGGTTTCAAGAGAGAAGCTCATTCACAAGGAATTAAAAGAAAGCTCACTGTGGAATTAAATGCATTTCAAAACTGCAAATTCCCTAGATTTGGAAACATTTTGGTTTCTCTTCAGCTTCGTTTTGAAGAGTGTAGGAGAGCTGGGATGTACAGCTGACAGCTGTCTTGTCTTCTGTTCAGTTCCTTCCTGCTCTGTGTACCAAGCTGCTGAATACCTAGGGAGGGAGCTGCTCTGAATCCAGGATTTCTCTCCCAAAAAGTGCTCTCTGGGAGCAGACATGTAGTGCTGGGCCAGAGGCTCCCAACTGTGCAGGGAGGGCCTGGGCCATGGAGAGCCTGTAGTCCTCTGTGAGAATTCATAGGACTGGGTGGGATAAAGGGTAACAGGAGCAGTTTAAACTTGTTACTAATGAGTGATAGCAGCAACCTTTTGGAAAGGGCTCCCTCTGTGCCTTCATTCAGTGATGAGTCTTTGGCCCAGATCTAGGCAGGTACCAAGATTGTAATGCCTTCTTGGATTTGGGTCTTGTTGCTCTACCAACATCAAAAAAGCTTGCTGAGAAATCCAAGGCCTAGGTGAGAGGGTGGCAGGTGATCATAAAACATATCAACTCCCATCAGTCTCTGAGTTTCCTTTGGCTTGCTTTTCATGAGGGTGTGGGCATTGTTGTCCACTTCTTCTGGGCTGTTTCCAAGCCAGCGTCCTTGTTTTCAGCACCTTTGATTAATTCAGAAAGGCCTTCAGCCTGCACACCTTGGGACCAAACCTGAGCAGCAGCCAAAGTCAGGCAGAGTGTGTCTCTGAAAAGATACTGTGCCTTGCCATGACCTCTGTGTCACAGGTGAGGCAGGTTTATGTCCTCCTCTGAAGTGGAGCAAAGGTGGTTGCTGGAGGCAGGTTGATGGACTATGAGGATCTGCTTTCCAGGGTTACTGCTGCTTCAAGCTTGTGTCTTTCAGGAAGGCTTTTTGACATAGGTGTCATCCTTTTCCTTCATATGCTTCATGATAACAATTTTGCCTAGGCCATGTGGACTTCAGCATATTAAACTGACCTGAGATACCTTCAGCACCTCTTGCCTTACTCAATCTTCTCTTCTACAGGAGCTACCTCTTTCCAGAATGTATTTTCGTCTTGTTGCCTACGCTATTTTGCTTCATCCCTTTTCCTCAAGTCAGGTGGAGATTTTGCCTTTTGTTTTGTATTCAGACCTGAGGCTTGCTGTTGACATTGGTAGTAGAAAGTTGTATTTTGGCTCAATGCTACATTTTGCCATTCTGTCACCGCACTGTCCTATGTGGACTGGGCTGTAAACCTCTTTCTAATTTATTACTTTGCTTTCTGTGTTCCTCATCTTTACTGCAAATTGAAAACACGTCTCTGTAGGGTGCTCCAACCAGAAACAGGGGCCTTGGTGATTGTAATGTTCCAAACAATTCATTTCAAGCACCAACGTGATGATTATAGTTTGTCGTTTCTGGAGAGTAGTTAAACCTCATGTAATGAGGTTGCCAATTATCCCCGGTACTCCCCGATGTGCAGTGACAAATCAGAGCTACTTGGTGCACATAAGTGTGTGTGTTTGTCAAGCCTGTGGCCTGTCACCCACAGCAGCCCCACTGTGGGAGACGGGGAGGATGCTTGATGCCTTGGCATGGGTGTTGAGTGTTAAAAGGTGGGATTGGTGGGAGTGTTGCAGACCTTTGGGACGTCTGCCTGGGTCCCTTCCAATCTGTGGATGATCCTATGACCGATGCTGCACGTGAATGGTCTGAAGAGTTGGGTTTAAAGTACTTCAGCGGTAAAAAGAGGTGTCACGTTCTTTTCAGTGTATCTTGCCATGCCAGTAAGAATTGCTTTTCTGCTGTCATTTCTGGAGTGTATCAAGTGCATTAAGATAAGGATGTTAAATGAGCTGGTCCTTCCAAGAGTGGGAGGGTGAGTCTACCTGTGCCTTGTCTGGCACAGTTTGTGGGTTCTCCAAGTAGATTTTTGAGACTCTTTTGGCTCCAGAAGACCTTTTTTCCTCACTGGAGCTGATCCCAGAAGATGTCCTTCAAATGTTTATCATGACTTCTGCTGGGATCGGCTCCAGTGAGGAAGTGGCATCCTTAGCTGTTGTGTTCCCCAGGGCTTCACTGTCCCCCATCAGACATTTTCCATTCCCCCTCTATACCCAGCACCATATGCCAGGCAGCTGAAAGTGTGTCACTCTAGTCTATTGAGAGATTTTTAAACTTCACTGCTGACTTTTAATCTTGTTCCCAGAGGTATTTCACCCCAAGAACTGAGACAGATAAGGCAGCAGCAGGTGTCAGATGATTGATCTTAACAAATGACAGCGGCAAGATGAAAGTATGTTCATTTCTATGGGGAACCTCCTGTCATTTCCCTTAGAAGATGAAAGGGAATGAGCTGGCCCTGGCTGAGGAGATGGTGGAGGCTGCCAGGCATTGCTTGAGTTGTCTGTGCACTGGGTTTTGTGTTACACCTACCTGCTGGCACAGAGACCTGTTGCAGTAGACAGTGGTCAAACAGGCAGTGGAGGACAGGTTCTGTCCCAGAAAACTCACAGGGAGGAGGTGCAATGATCATGGAATCACAGAATCACAGAATATTTTGGGTTGGAAGAGACCTTAAAGGTCATCTCATTGCAGCCCCTCTGCCATGGGCAGGAACACCTTCCACTAGACCAGGTTGCTCAAAGCCCTGTCCCACCTGGCTCTGAACACTTCCAGAGGGATCTACAGCATCTCTGGGCAACCTGTTCCGGTGTCTCACCACCCTCACAGTAAAGAATTTCTTCCTTATACCTAATCAAATTTCTCCCTCTTTCAGTTTAAAGCCATTACTCCTTGTCCTATCACTACATGCCCTTGTCAAAAGTCCCTGTCCAGCTCTCTTGTAGCCCGTTTAGGTGATGAAGTGATGTGACTCGTAGCCAGCACTGCCAGGCAAGGCAGTCACAAGGGGCTCCTCTCTTGTGTGAGATGGTGCAATAACTCTGCAAAATTTTCGCTGTCCACCCCAAGCACAGAAGATGGATTTTGACCTTGGTAGTGCATGATGGCTGGGTACCAGCCTTGCCAACTTCAGAAATAAATGTGCGTGATCTTTAACTCCCTCCTGCAAAAGGCAGGCTGTCATCACTATTATTTGGTGGATAAAGTTAGAAGTAGACCTTTGTGTCTTTGGAGTTGAATTGGCACAAAGCTACATCTTGAGGAATCCATTAATCTTGAACAAACTGAACTCTAGAGGCACAACAGGCATTAATACCTTAAATATGGCTTTTCAAGCTCAGCACTGCCAAGTCTACCTTTGCATTTTCTATCTTTTTCCTGGAAAGAAGGGAAAATTCTGTAGGTGGCCACCAAAGAACTGAAGGAGGCAGCAGGTGGCTTCTGAAATTTATCCATATCTGAATTCCCCCATCCCCATTCCTCCCACAGAGTATTTTTTCCTTCCTCCCCCCCGTACCCCCGGTTCTACTAAAAATTGCTATGCCTCTTGTACCTTCATTATGTTCAGCAAATCCTCAGGAAGCAAGAATTTTATACAGCGTGGAAAAACATTTGTGATATAAAGAGACCAGAAACTGTGGAGTGGCCCCTTCCAAAAATGTTAGATCTAACCTAATTATAACCCTTTTTTCCCCTTTCCCCAAGAAAGAACCGTGGGCACCCAAGCAGAGCCTTGACAGTGAGCTGTGCATTGTCTTGCTGAGGCCAATGCAAAAAAAGCCCTAAGGGAAAACAGAAGCCAACACCAGGGAAATGTCATCTACCAGACCCTGGTACACCGTAGGGGATGTGGGGGATGGATTTTCAAAATGCAAATAGGGGTCCGTTGAGGCTTCACTACACTTCAGCAAGGTAATTTTCAAACTTAATGATTTTCACATTTAATTCAGGGAGAAATTAGTCATCAGGTATGGAGACAAAGCAAGGCTCTCTTCTGTACTGGGATCCTCTCCTCTTCAAGCTGTGTTATCTCGACAATAATTAAAATGTTCGCTGAAGTAGAAAATGTGCGATCTGATTCATTAGCCTGATTTCCCTTTGTAAGGTAACTCGTGTTTGCTTATCAGAAATTGAGACAGGCTTGGAGGAGAGAGGACTCTGGACGCTAATGATTTGGGAGGGGGTAGCCAAGGGATCATGAGACCAAAGCCACGTGTGTGTTCATCCTACACAGTGAACAGCTCAGCATGTCCTCTTCCCTCTCGGGTGTCCTTCTTGGGGCTGTCCTGTGCAGGGCAAGGAGTTGGACTTCGATGATCCTTGTGGATCCCTTGCAACTCAGGATATTCCATGACAACAACAGGTTACTTCCTTTTTCACCATTCTGATGTCTGAATCTTTAGATGGCACTGTTAGGGTGTTTCCTTTTGTTCTGGTGTTGCCACATTTTAACCAGCTTGTCTGTGCAGACAGTAAATTCCTCCTGATTTGAAGTGAGTTTGCCCTTCAGGAGAGCAGAAGGGCACCTCCAGCACCTCAAGTAAAGTCTACACAAACACATCTCTCCCTTTTTCCTCTCTTCTAGTGATCCCCAAAGTAACTAAGCACTTGCTCTCCAATCCCGTCTTCACCTGTATCATCCTGGCAGCCTGCATGGAGATCGCGGTGGTGGCTGGATTCGCCGCCTTCCTTGGAAAGTACTTGGAGCAGCAGTTCAACCTCACCACCTCATCTGCCAACCAGCTCCTGGGTGAGTAACCACAGGGGCCACCAAATCTCCAGCATCCAAAGGTATTTAAAAGTGTTCAGCACGGCTGGTAACTGCACCCAGTTTCTCTGGTTAGGCTGCCCAAAAAGTGACTTTTCTGACATCTGGAAATGTGTCTGTGAGCGGGAAGGGTGGGATCCAGCTGTGCAGTGGCTGCAGAGCACAGAGTAGACCTCCAGCATCCTTCCTTTGCGACTGTGCTCTCCACTGCATCCTGTTGCCATGCCCATCATGTCGGAAGTGGTATGGGACAGCCAGGATATGAAAGTCTCTGATAGCCTTGAATGCAGCAGAATTGGGCCATTTGGTTGCCCAAGGCTGCAGTTGCTCTCTGAGTGAGCAGCTCATTGAACTGCTTGTTCAGGTACCAACCCACCTCTATTCAGGTTAGGAAGCCCAGTTTCTCCTCTTAGTCACTCCTTTCCCCTTGGCCTGGAAATGATGGGATTGCCATCAGCAGTTAAAGTTCCTGAGCTAGTGCAGCTTGGTTGTCTTTCAAATGCCCCTTTTCTCTGACCATTCCATGCTGCTGTAGTTTCCCATTTATATATTTCTCAACGTTCATTTGTTCCCTGTCAGGACACTGATGGCAGAATCTTCATTTATTTGCTGCTCCTGCTCATTCCCAAGCAGGCCCAGCCATTTGTTTATGACAACCCTTCTCTCAGCAGCACCCAATTAAGATATCTGCAAGTTGATCTTGGATGATCTGCAACCACAGCTCGCCAGATGGGCAGCTGGCAGTGATCTGTCAAAAACTGGGACATCAGGAAATGGGTGGATCTTAATATCAAAATAAGGAGTTTGCAAGCTGCTCTCCTGACAGTTATTTATTTTCCTATTAAACTCATCAATATCTTCTGGTTTTGGCCTGGTTTTCCAAAAGAAACAATCCTCTGCAGTCAGCCTTGCCTCCCCCAGCAATACCGGAACTCGCTAGTGAATTTTAATACGATTTGACAGAAGGCCAGAGGTCTCAAAGATGTTAGGCTCTTCCATCTTTTCTGAAAATTAAAGGCTTGGCAAAGGAAAGCAACTTCACTGTTGATACACTGGAAGAAGGAAAAAAGCTGTTTGGTGGGAGTTGCCTGGGCAGTCAACATGTGAGTACAGCTGGGTGGGCGCCAAAGAGGGGATCACCCGGGAGCCAGAGCACATACTGCTTCTGCCCTGACAGTGGGAAAGGAGACTTTGATACCTCTGTGTTTCTCACAGCAACTTAATTAAAAAAAGTTGTTACCACCTTTCCCACGTGACATCTAGGAGAGTCCAGAAATGCCAGGATTGGGATGCTCTTCTAAGCTTAGTTTAGGTAGGTGAGCTCTAGAGTATAACTGGTAGCAAAGGTATAAAAATGAACCCAAACAAACGTAGTGTGATAATGCCTGTCTGTGTCTGGAAACAGAGTCACTTCTGGCTGTGATTTTGCATCTTACAGTTTAAAATTCTTTAAGGGAGACTTCATATTTTCAAATGCCACTCTTGCCTAGTCTCTGAAGTTCAGACTGCTGTGAATTATACAAAGCGGGGCTAATCCAAAGCTTCTAGACAGCTTGGAAGATTCTTTATTTTGCTGCCAACTGTTGCAGGAAGCATTAGAGATGCTGTTGGTTAGGTTAGGTTGGGCCAATCTCAGCAAGTTTGGCATTTCCCTCCAATATGGATGAGAACTGGAAGAAGGTCCTGGTTCTTCTGTTCAAAGCAGCATACACATTTTTATCCATTTCTCCTTTATTGGGCAAGCCCAGCTTGGTGCTACTCCAGCAGTTGGTCATTGCAAGGTTTCCCCATGCACAGATCTTGCTGCTGGAGAGTAAAACCCTGTCATAGTGTAGTTCACTGAGCCTTACTCATTCTTCTTGCTAACTGATTTTTCCTCTTGCAGGGATGACAGCAATCCCATGTGCGTGTCTGGGCATATTCCTGGGTGGCCTCTTGGTGAAGAAGCTCAGCCTGTCTGCTCTGGGAGCCATCAGGATGGCCATGCTGGTGAACCTGGTGTCCACAGCTTGCTACGTGTCTTTCCTGTTCCTGGGATGTGACACAGGGCCTGTGGCAGGGGTTACTGTTCCCTATGGAAACAAGTGAGTCCCCAGGCAGTTTCAAGGTCTCACAGAGCTTTGCCAACATAAATCCATGTTATTGTCCTCGACAGGCAGTGCTGGCCCTCAGACAACCACAGAGCAGGCATGCAGAAGGCAGTGTGATATAGGGCTCTTACTTAGGGATGTTCCCATGCCACTCATTGCTGTGAGAGTTGAGTACCTGCAACTGACAACAGAGTTTTACTAAAATCGGTCAAAATGAATCAAAAGGCGCCAGACTTGCTTCTGTGCCCTTGGCCACCTGTGTAGCACTTGGTCCATCGCACCCTCTGGTTTCCCCTGGCAGTGAGGGACATGCACTGCTTTGTACATTGATTTAAATTCCTGAGGGGAATTTGTAGAATCAGGTTTTGGATGCCTGGAAATACAGATATGGTGAAAGAGAGACCGTTTGTGGCTCTAGGTCTATTTTTATGTGAGAAATGAGGCCCATGGTGCCCTGTAGCACTCACAGGATTTGGAGACAGGTATTCTGTGTTTTCTTTTCGAGTGCTCCTCAGTATGCAGTGGCGACTCTTTAGAAGATGAAAACTTCAGCCTCTCAACTCCTCACGGTATTATAGAAAAATACAGAGCAATCTCTAGATCATCTCTTTGGGCTTCCTTGGGGCTTCTTGTTGGGGTAACAAGGCAGCTGAAGTCTTGCATTAGATTCCCTGTTGCAGAGGGATAGTGGCCATGGCATTTCAGTCCCCAGGGGGAAGCTGTAGCCTGGATTTCTTAAAGCTGGAACCCAGCTAGCCTGCCCACTGCTTTTTTGTAATGTGTTAACTCCCCCCCTCAAAGCCATCTTTGTGAGGCAGCGATTGGAAAAGCTGGCTGATATCATCACACTGTCCATTAATTTCCCTTTCTGTTTCTCTTACAGCTCAACTCCAACCTCATCTCTGGACCCATATTCCCCCTGCAATAACAACTGTGAATGCCAAACTGATTCCTTCACTCCAGTCTGTGGGGCAGATGGGGTCACATACTTATCTGCCTGCTTTGCTGGCTGCAGCAGCACGGTGAGTGGGCTTTCCTCGGGACCTCTTGCCTGTAGGAACAATTCTGAGAGCTCAAGTGAGTGAGGTTAGTGCGTATCTGGTAGAGTAGCTCACCCACAGCCATCAGTGGTTGCACCCCCAAAAGCTGACCTCACACCTCAGGTGGGCATGAGTCCTTGTCATTTTTCACTCTGTTGCATAAATGCCCACTCTCTCTAGCAGCAGTCTGCCAGGGTTACCCATGGAGCAGGATGGGATTTCACATCCTTCTCCTCTGGTCTTCCTCCTCAGCATGGAAGCAAGGAACATGAAGATCTGCACGGTTGTCCAGTGGCAGAACCCAGATCCTCTGTGAGAGCTTCCTGGCCCAGGCTGTGGGACCAGCTTCTCTTTTGTCCTGCAGCTCCTCATCTCCCCTCTTCTCCACCTGCCCTTGTTTGCCCTGCCCAACACTTTTATTCTTTTTCCTCTTGCTCTTTCCCTGAATCTGGTTCCTAGACACCTATGAGCAGATTCTGGTTTTATTCACCCTTTTTTAAGCTTTCCTTTCTTTCCTCTCACTTCTCTCTGTTTCCTTGCTTTGCTCTGAGGCAGCAGCAAGAGCAGTTGTCAGGGGAGCAGAGACTCCATCCAAAGGCATTCTGCATTTTTCAGTTCTCTATATCTAAGAGTTTATTTCCCTTAGAAAAGTCTTAAAGACCAAACCATCTCTATATAAAGAAGATGTGGGGAATTTTTAACAATATCTTAAAAGCCAGCTTTTTCATTTTTGCTGCTGAAATGTTAATGTCTTCTGGGTTATGCTGAAAATGAGTGCCTGCTGCTCCCGGGGGTAGGGACTGGTGAGATTCCTGCATCCTGGGGCTGTGCCAGGCATGGTGATTGCTGCCTCACTGCCTGTGTGGAGTCTATTGGAGGTCAGCCTGGTCACAGGGACTGTTTGTGGCTGCAGGGACATTAGTGATCACCACATGCAATTATCCCTCCATGGCTTCATCCTTGCTTTTTGAGGAGGCATCAGACCTCCCTTCCTGCCCCAAAGAGACAAAGCACATGCCAGTGCCACTGAGCAGAGGTGCACACTCACTGCTGGCAGTGCAGCCTCACAGCCCAGATCACCCAGGAGCTTGTCCTGCTTAAACCTCTTCTCTCCTCCCTTCCCTCTACAGCCTCAGAGACACAGGCATCCCTTTGAAATACCACAGTTTCAAGGTGCTTTCAAAACCCCACAAGGATCTCCATGAGTGCGTGACACATGTGAAGGTGTTACCTCCTGCCCTCTTCTTCCTCCTCCTCCCAACAGGTCAACACCTGAGGCGGCAGCAAGATGATTTTAACAGGACGCCAGCTTGTTTCAGATACACAGAATTGTGTCTCACCAGTTCACCAAGCCTTTAGCAAGAATACAGCTGGTGTGGTCCGTGGCTGGAGTGTGGGAGTGACCTCCTCACTGTGCAGTTCAGGTCAAAGCTCTGGCTCCTCTGGAAGGAGCATGGTAATGAAAATTCAGCTCTGCCCCTTCAGTCTGCAGCTGCCTGACCTCATGTTCTGCAAGAGAAAACCTCTCAGCAAAAAACTCACTGATACTCACCCTCTCTCTTACTCATTCCTTCTTATTTTGCCTTTTTGTCATCATCCCGGAGTTCTTTTCATCGCTTTGTTTTGTGGGGTTTTTTGCAGTAACGTTTTGAACACAAATTAGTGAAGCAATATAGCATCCTCTGGAAAGGGCATTATCAAAAATTATGGACCAGTTTGGCCATGCAATGGCCTTGAGGCAAAGCCAAATTGCCAAACCAAGTTTTAAACCCATAATCCAGGTAATGACCTGTCTAGAGGGTCTTGTGAATGTTATATGCTTGTGATGAGCCAAGGGTTGCTTTTTACTGGGACATAAAATTCTCTGAATGCTTTATTTAACTTTACTACATTGGATGTTTCTGAGTGCCTCGCTCCACTTTTCCTCTGTGAACAATTCTAAAAGCGATATGTAGCTCAGTTAGTTTTTTCTTTTTCATTTCTTCTCTCTTACTGAGCTGGTTCCAGAGGTGCACTTGTCTAAAAAGCCATAGGAATATTGGTGCTGATAGGCAGAGCTCTGGCAACCTCAGGAGTGTTTCTTTCAAGCCATTCCTGGAAGTGACGCTTGCATCTTGCTTGTTTGATGCCATTGATTCTCTCAGCCTTTTGGTTGGAGACACACGAATTCCAGCCTGGCATTACTGTGCTGGCATCTCACAGCTTTGCATTGAAGTACCAGCCTGTCCCTTCCCTGTCAGAGCCAGGGCTTAAGGAATGAGTAATTAAAAACATGTAATTCGCATAGATAATCACACCAAACTCAGCATGCTGTTAAAGGTGTAAACTCTGCATCTGTGTAGCCTCACATGCACACAGAAATCTGGGTGTGCAAGCTGCTGGGCAGCAGAGGGTTGTGATAATATGTGGTTGAATGCAGTGGGGTTGCTGACAAGGGAATCTATAGCAATTTTGGCACAGGTAGCAAAAAGTTGCCTCTCCACAGGACAAAGTTATAACTCCATCTTTGATGTTTCCTTGTTTGATGTCTGAGAGTTGTGTAGTGTGTGAGTAATAAAAGATCAAAGATCTCCCAGGTAAGAATGAGGTGCAGTGCTAAGGAAGCACATGTAGTTGGTTCAAACTACTGGCACTGCTTCGGGCCAGAACCTTGATGCAAAATGGTTGAAAAAGTGGATCGAGAGGCAAATTTTCAGGCAATCCAGGTGGGGATCTGCCTTGTGGTTTGTAAAAAATCACAGCAATAGGAGGAGAATCTGCCCCACCATTGCCAGAAACAGGTGGGGCAGATCTGTCCCTCGATAAGAACCCATGGAAAACAAGCACCCAGTTCTACATGTCTGCTGTGATGGGAATTTTGTCCGAGGATTTTTCAGTGCAGGTATATACTTTTCTAGACTTAGATGGGTTTTGATCCGCGGGGCTGTGTCCAGCTGGTTGCTAGCAATGCACTACAGTAAGAGCCAGGATCTACAAATTCCTGTTGTCTGTGCAAACACCACATCAGTGGTGCTAATTGTCACCATTCTGAAGCCTTCGGGTGTCAGCTTCTAACTCACAGCACAATAATTTGTTATGTTAATTACTGCTTGCCAGCCGGAAAGGCACTGCATGCCTGCTCCAGCTCTCCTGGAGTTCTGCACAGCAGTCTCTCTTGCCCTCTATGCACTTAGTTGGAAAAAATCATTTGACTCCTGTGCAGAAGAAAGAGATTAGTGTCAGAAAGGTTGGAGTAGTATCCTTGCCGATCCTTATCTTTGGAGGCAGTGAACCAGTAAGTGTGCTTTTGTATGGTCCTAAGGGGACGCCCTTTGCGGAAAAGCAAAGGAATTTCTGCTCAAACATGGTAGAGGGAAAGGGGAGGAGATTTAGCTGGTTTTCAGTATGTTTTATTTTATGGTGTTACTCCTCATACAAGCACGTGACCTGCAAACCCAGCGGGCTGATGAAGACAAGCCATGAATCATTTATGACCGTTTCATTCTGTATTCGTTAAGGGATTTCTTGGTGGTATTGTGCGCCTTAATTGCGCTGCCATCCCCCACTCAGAAATTCAGGAGGGCAAGTCGGAAAATAAGGAAAAAAAAGTAAAGCCTTAAATCTGTGACTGGCAAACAAAGCTTCTTTTCACATCCTGCACTTGCCAGAGAGATCAAAGCAAAATGCAGTCATTCCACCCTCCTTCTGATCACATATTGATAAAGTTTATCTCGCTTGACTTCAGCTCTTAGCTCAACACAAATCCCTCTGAACCAGATGTCATTTATTAGCCCTGGAGTGCTTTAAAGTCCAGCAGCGTCTGTGGTGCCAAGCGGTGGTAGTTCAGCCCTCGGTGAGCTGCAGCACCCATCCTGGGTGGCTCCTTCCCAGGATTCAGGGTGCTGGAAGCAGGCACCGAACCTGCAGCCAAGAACAGGGCTGCAGATTTACCTGCATTTAATGTACTTCAGTTTAATTGCAACAGCCAAGAGGACGGAAGTAAATAAGCAAGTAATTAGAACCATAATTGGGGGATCTTCCTTGTCGCAGAGACACAGATTGTTTCTTTATTCCCCTCCAAAGAGGTATAACTTGGTAATAATTTTGTTGCAGTGACATTTATGGGAGAGACTTGAAAGGAGCAGAAGAAAAGAAACAAGCCAAGGGACAAATTTCCCTTGCTGGTAACATGCGTCAGAGCTGGCGCTCCTGAAATTCTTTCCAAACCCCCTCCAAACAAGCACTTAGGAGTTACTTAATTGAACATTGGAGTATTAGGAGTTGATGTTGACAAGCCCTCATTACAGAGGTCAATGGTGGGGATCACAGCTCTCCTTTCTCCTGACTCCTTGTGCTCCTCTGCAGAACCTCAGTGGCTGTTCGTGCCTCACCTCGGTCCCTGCCGAAAATGCCACCGTGGTTCCTGGCAAATGCCCCAGCCCCGGCTGCGAAGAGGCCTTCCTGACATTCCTCTGCGTGATGTGTGTTTGCAGTATGATCGGGGCCATGGCCCAGACGCCGTCAGTCATCATCCTCATCAGGTAGGACCACGGCTGGGGATCCTGGAGGGTTCCCACAGTGATCCCAGAGGGGCTGCTCAGGGGGTGGGAGCAGGGCTGGAGGGGCCATGGGAACCACTGGGAGCTGCACAGAGCTGAGGGTCCCATACGGCCTGGAGACCATAGAAACCACGGAAAAGTGAAAAGCTCTGGCAAAGGCTAGCTTTGGTCAATACCCACCTGTCCAGAGTTTTAACTTCTGTCACCCTGGACCAAGTCCAAGGACACAAAGAACTTGGAAGTCTGAAGGACATGTCTTGAGTTGAGCCAGTGTGAATAGGTGGGCAAAAGTAGCTTACTCAAATAACTGACCTTGTGTTATTTCCAGACACATGGAACACTTCACCTTACAATATACATATATATCTAAGCCCACATTTATCCAGAATTACTTAGCTGTCCAGGCTGTCACTTACTGAGAATAATAACCAGGGGCATAAATAGCAGATCCATTCTGCTGCCTGGAAAATTCCAATAAAATTCAATCAATAAGGTCTGTATTAGAAACACACTCTTGAGTGGATTTTGGACAGAACAGCTCTGTGAGGGCATGTCTCCCTGCAGGATACAAAATGAGATATTCCACCTACTAGTTCACTTCTCTCTTTGCATCTCTGGTAGCTGAAGGGAAATCAAATTTCTCATGATAAATATTGTGGCAAAAGTAATTTGAAGTTTGAAGAGTTCTTTGTTCAAGGAAGCTGCCAGAACCTTTAGGATCCTGCATGGAGACATCTTAGTGTTGCCTTCAAATGAGATAAGCCTGGCACCAACCGGGAAGAAGAATGCAAGGGAATAAGAAAACCGAAGGGAATGTTAAACATACTCAGTTCACAGCTGTAGGAAATAAACAATTCACACATCCAGATTAGTAACTTCACTCAGAATCACTGATAGCTACCAAAATGTACAGGGAAGAGCTCTTAGCCAAGAGAGCACCTCTTGCATCGCCTAAAGGAAGTTTTGTGTACATGTGTGTCCCTGGTGTCCAGGGCAGGACAAGTGGCATTGGCAGCTCCTATGATTATTTAAAAATGAACTCAGTGTATACAAAGTGGATGTCTTGTCTAGGTGAGTCATTTGTTCAGTGAGAAAAGGAGATGTCTCCAGGTGGCACCTTTTACTCCACTCTAAGGTATGTGGGTTGACTTTGGTATTAAATACAGAAAAGTGGATGGAAGGACACCACCACCAATTAAAAACCCACTGTGAATATTTCACACAATAATTTATTTTTTCCATAAAATAAACTTTTAATACTCCATTTCCTTCATTTCCCACCCAACTGTAGAATCCTATTTGAGCCAAGCCATTAACCACTGGAACATTTTTCCAAGGTCAGATATTTCCTGGCATAAAGGCTTTCTATAGAGCCTGAGGATTGCCTGAAAACTGCTGAAATTCATCCAGAGGTCACAGGCTTCATGTAGGAGTCATGGTATGGTGTTACGTGGCCTGTGAATATGTGAAAGGAGGGCAGGTGATCAGAAGGGTGATCTTAACATAAAAGCACTTGGTGGTTCTAACTGTTTTATCAGTTTTGTCTTATGCCCCCACGGTGTATTTATATAGAGGACCATGTCTGCCACCATGGATGCCACTAGCAGTGATGCCTGCAGACCTCTGTAAGGAGCTAAAGGAAAAAGCAACTTAAATCTTTGAAGTTCCCCTGTGTGATGAATCTGTTCCCATGGGGATTGCTGTCCTGCCTTCCCAGCCTTTATATTCTGTAGGAAATAAAATGCTGCTATAAGACTCAAGACCAAATTAATGGCTTCTAAAGTTCCAAAGGCTTTGCTGAGCCTACCCCAAGAGGACGATGCCAGTAGCATCCTTGAGCTGAGCGAATTAGAAAGCTGTGAATGTTTTTTTTAAAGCACCTTCGAAGGATAACCCTAATACAACAGTGGGTCGTGTTCATAGCAAAAGACACTGCAAACACTGTCTTCCCAGTATAAAAAAATTGCATGCTAAATTCACACCTATGAAAACTAGTCCTGAGCACTTTCTCACTGAAAGACTTGAATTAACAGGCTGACTGAACCTTTTGGTCTGTCATGCTCCCTTTCCTCTCTTGTTCCCAGTAGTCTGGGGAGTTTCAGAACCAAAAGTTTTCTTTCCCTCCAATTTTGAACATCTGGAGCCTTGAAAACATGACGGGGAGCTTGTAAACAATGATTTAATGGGATGGGAATTACATTTTTCCCCATCCAATGACAAGATTAGCTGCTGTTATTAATGACTTAGCTAATTCCTGGACCTATCACATAGGCAATTACTTTTGGGGCTGTAGGCAGTTCAGGCGAAGGCAGAAGAAAAACTCCATTAATGACTTTTTGAAAAGGTGGTGGTGGCATCCTGGCTGACAGCACAGAATGTCCAGGGGGTGTGTTAATCAAAGCAGAACAACAGGAATTGATTTCACTCTCTCCCTCCCTCCTCCCTGCAGAACCGTGAGCCCCGAACTCAAATCTTACGCTCTGGGGGTGCTTTTCCTACTGCTCCGGTTGCTGGGTAGGTACAAAAATCAGATATCCTTCTCTCCTGTCCTTTCCTCCCTCATGGTAAACTCTATTTTTAACATGCAGAAGTTGATTTCTCTTCCATGTAGTACTGTGGTTGTCATCAGTGTGGTTTGACACACTGGGGTCCAAGCCCTCTCCATGAAGGATATCACATCAAGGCTCCTGAAGGCACTTTTCCTGCCATTTGTATTGTACTAATGGAAGAAAATGCAGTGTTGCATGAGAAATGACTGTTTCTCCCATGGTCCCACACAAACAGTTTCTCTTCTATAGCTGTTATTAACGTGTCAGCAGCTTGCAAAATTACTGCTGTATTGCATATTGCTGAAGTAGAGGGATATGTATTTTCACCCTCCTTTGAGGGACAGGACCTGTGTTACATAGTGGTTTTGTCCCTTCCTTCAGGTCTCTCGGAAAGGAAAACAGAAAAATGAGACAGGCTGAGTCCTTGTATCCTCCTGTGGGTTAATATCCCATTAAAATGCATATGGCTGCTCCTCTGGACCAGTATGTGCTTCTCATGTATGAATTAAAAGGAACACACCAGGCTGTTGTTTGCCTGCGGTTTGTTTCTGGGTGGAATTTTTTTCCCCTTTGGAAGAGATGGCTCCTATTTTAAAGCTCTTCTATTTCAGCTCATTAATCTCAGTGATTCAGGACAAAATCCTCTGATCCATCATTGTGTGGGACCATCTCACGCCCAGGGTTTCTGCATGTTGTGGGAGTGGAATTTCCTTTTTTTTGATCAGGGTACAGGCAGCACCTTCCCTGCATGGCTCCCCCAGTCCCAAAGGAATGAGCAAAGTGCCATCACTGAGGCTACAGCAAGACACTGGGAAGTACAGGACAGAAAATCCAGCAGTACCATACATTGCTTTGAATAAATTACCTCATTTATTTACTTATTTTTTTAATACCTTATTCCCCATTAGCTGAAGGGGAAATGGTGCTCCCAGACCAACTTACAGTAAAGCCAGTTAGATTTCCATTGTTTTTGGTAAAGTAGCTGCAGTAATACAAAAAGCTCCATCAAGTAAACTTATCCAGAGCTCAGATAACTCAAAGGGAAGCTTCTGGGATGACTTGGGTCAGCTCTGGTTCAAGCCTTGCAAACACAGCATTTTCTTTAGCTGCTGGTGCTGCTCGTGGGTTTTGACCTGTCTTCAGCTCTGGCTGAATGTGGAGAGTCAGCAGGCAAGTGTGGGAGGAGGATGGCTGTGGGCTGTTGTTTCCAAAGGAAAAAGTACTTAAGGGGAGAGATTATTCTCTTTTCTTTGTTCCTTTTGAAAGAGAGAAGCCTCCTGAGATAGCAGCATCCTGAATTCCTCTAAAACCAGGCTCAGACATATATGCTTAAGTTGAACAGATTTCTTCTTTTCGTAGCAGTAAAGAAGCCATAGTAAGAATTTTAAACTCAAATCTTTATATGTTGCTCTGTCACTAAGAGATTCTCGTGTAATAAGACAATACATCCTGAAGCATAGCAGCAATGTAGCTTAGAACACGCAGAAAATGAAGAGAAAGGTACTTTTCAATATGAGCAAGGGTATCCAAATTGTGCCCTTAACAACCTGAGGTTTGAGAATAGCTTTACTGATTTATTTTAAAAGCTTTTCAGTTCACCTTTAAGCTTTGACTTAAGAAGACAGTGATGATAGCTGTTTCTTGAACCAAAGGAGAGTATTAAATACAGGAGGTATGAGACCCAAAGGTGCTATCGTAGCTAATAGATTTCAATAAGACAGAAGCAGCTTTTTTATGCAGCTCTACAGTTTCAACAAAGAAATATATATATATATGAAATTTTTGCAACACTTTGCAGTAAGAGGTAAGACATGATTGACTCTCTTTAATATTCACTGTAATAACATGAAACGTGACTGAATTCTCCTGGTATCCTCCTGCATGTGTTATCTTATTTCATAGGAATTCTGCTGTGAGAGGGCAGCGGAACAGTGTCTTCATATAAAAGCGTTACTGCAGTTTCTCAGAGAAGAGAGTAAAGCAATGCCATTGGAGCCAAAGGTGTGGAATGGAGTTGTCTGGAATGGCAAAGAGTTTCAGACTTGTAAGATCCTGGATGCATCCTTTCTGGATGGTGTTCACCATGCATCCTAGCCAAGCCTCCAGGGCACTTCCTTTGATTTTTTCCTGCAAGCCCATGTTGTTGTTTGCTTCTTCTTCTAACATGACAAAACCCCACAGTCTTTCTCTCTCAGGAGTTTCCAATCTATGGTGCAACCCCTCAGCTCCCTTGTCTCAGGGAGTCTTGCCCTCTCCTCTGCTAAAAACAACCCAAAACACTCACTGGTTGATAAAAGTTTTCCATATCCACATCCATGCCTGCATTCACTGAGGAGTAGCTTTGGAGTTAAGTGAAAACAGGCCCTTTCTCAAGTCTTATGAGGAGGAATTTCCAGGCCAAATTATTGTGGAAAGCAGGCAAGCCAGCTGAAGCCAGCATATGTGGATGGTAGCTCTCTCTGAAGTTCAGTCTGTACATCTCCAAAGCTTTGTATCAACATCTCTCAACATGTTCACAAGCAGGGGCTCACACCTCAAAATTATGATCCCAATCCAGTCTTCTCTTGTTCCAGAAAGCACGAGGCTCCTCACTGCCACATGTGAATGTTGCCCCCTGAGGTGCCATCCAGCAGCAGTAGGCACACAGACTGCAGTCAGCAGCACATCCTCTTGCTTTTCTGTGGCAAAAGCCCAGTTGAATTTTTAAAATCCAGGTTCAGTGTGTGGTTGTTCACAGGTTTCAACAATAAGAGTCTTTTAACTTAGAATAACTGGAATTTCCAGTCATTGAAATGACAAACTGAGAGCTAGCACTGACATTTTTTCCAGAACATAACCAGGTTTTTAGATGTGATGTTTAAAAACTAGTGTTTCTAACAAACAGATTGTCTTGCTTTCATATCATCTGGTTTTATTTACTACATTTGTGCTATTAATGACTGGTTAAAATGAGTACGAAAAGCCCATATAGCCTTTCTTAATTCCTGCATTTATTAACATAGAAGGAAGATCAAGCAAAATCTGCAGAGCTCTAGTCATCGACAAAATAAAATAAAGAGATCTTAGTTACCACAGGGAACAGTGAAGACAACCAATTTATTTGTAGTCTTAGGATACATGTCATGAATGTCACTACTTTGCTCATGACAAGCTGAAGGAAAGTATCTTTTTTAAGCCTGGAAATCCAGGTTAATGATGAAACTGGATCCGAGATTAAACACTTTCCTGTCTAAAAACTGCAATCCTTGTGTCTGTTTTCATATATATTTATAGAGTCTCAGGCATCACAGCACCTATGGAGGAAGTGATACCATCACAGGGGTATGTTGTGCCTACCTGCTGTTGGATTTCAGTAGATACGTTGCTCTCCTTTGCTTGCTGTCTTAACCCACAGCAGTGACTTTATCAATCAGGGTCTTTTCCCAAGGGTTGTCTGCTTCCAGCCTCCCCCCATAAATACAGCAGAAGGAAGAGAGATGGTTACATTATGTAGAACGTTCACGTTTTCTTCTGAGTGCTGCACTCCTGGCTCACATGTGCTGCCTGGGGAGTGCAGAGCTGGAACGTGGATGTCCTAATCACCATCAGGGTAATGTGAAATGGGGGGGCTGCTACAGTGTCCCAGTAGGATGAGGAAAAGTAGAGAAGAAAAACATTGACTTTATTAGTTAAATGAGATTGGAGTGATTACTTTGCTTTAAGATTGCAGCTCTGCTGCAAGCTATGATTGAGAAACACTCATTGGTAGTTAGCTGCAGTGGCTGTGGGAGAATCCTGCTGTGATATTTCATTTAATGGCACTCTGAAATTTTCCCTTCATTGCAGAATACATCTTTGACATCTTTTAGAGGTCATTGTTTCTTTTCCTTAGACCCAGAGAAAACCTTTCCCTGTGTCAGGGAAAGGTCCAAAACTCTGTGTCCCAGCCGATTTCAGGCTCTGAACTGGAGAGCTGTGACATCCTTCAGGTGAACACCCTAAAGTGCAGAATTGCCAGTATCTAAACAGAGAGCATAGTTGCAAGGCTGTCCTCCTCCTCTTTCATTTACCCCTCCTCAGTCTCATTAGGCAAACGAGAAGCTTAATAAAAGCCACTTAAACTTGAGTAAAATCCTTGCTGCATGTTGATATCAGCAGGAATTCTTCCGTAGACATCGAGTCCAAGCTAAAAACTCATCCACAGACTTGGTTTAGGTTGATTTAGAACTTTAAAAATTAAAATCACAGGCTGCAGCTGGGACCATTAACCTTGATAAAGTGCCCTCTTTCCATTCACTGCAGTCACGTCCTCTCTCTCTATCATAAGGATCATAAAAGCCTAATTTGTCTCTCTTATTTTGACAGGTTTTATCCCACCTCCGCTGATCTTTGGGGCTGGAATTGACTCCACGTGTCTGTTCTGGAGCACGTTCTGCGGCGAGCAAGGAGCCTGCGCCCTGTACGACAACGTGGTCTATAGATACCTGTATGTTAGCATTGCTATAGCCCTGAAGTCTTTTGCATTCATCTTATACACAACCACCTGGCAGTGCTTGAGGAAAAACTATAAAAGATACATCAAGAACCACGAAGGTGGTCTCAGCACTAGTGAGTTTTTTGCCTCTACTCTCACCCTAGACAATCTGGGGCGGGACTCGGTGCCCCAAAGTCAACCACATAGGACAAAATTTATCTATAACCTTGAAGATCATGAGTGGTGTGAAAACATGGAGTCTGTTTTATAGTGACTGTGGAGGGGTGAACTATATTAATAATACAAGGGTCCTTTTTAATAAAAACAAGGAGAGAGCACGAATGAAGATACACAACTGCAGAACAACAACGGCAACACAGGAAACTTTTGTCTTTTTCTCAAAGTCAGACCCAGCCATGATTCTTGAGAACAGCATCTTCTAATGGGATCACTTGTGACATCCTGCAGGGTGATGGAGAAAGCAGGGAGCCATTTGTGGCTGGGTACCAGCCCCCTTGATGACAGTACGAGCTCCCAAGGAGGGCATCTGCAGAAGTTCACTGGAGAGCTCAGCACACGGACAGGCTTGGGCACGAGGCATAGAGAAAGCGAGGTGATAATGGCAATAGGTGTTTGCGTTTGAAAACGGGGTCCTGGGGTAGTGTGGAGCACCCACAGCATGGGCTGGAGGGTTGGCCAGTCTGGGTGCTGCTGCTCAAACCTGCTGTGCTCTGCAGTGGCAAAGAGGGAGCGATGCTGGAGTCGTTCCACCAGTCACACTCTGTCACCAGCCACGAGTCCACGATAAATACCTTGAAAGCTGCTGGAAACCTTCCCGGTGGCGAGCAATGCTGTCAGGGGTATCCAAGTCCTTCCAGCCCAGGCTTATTCGCAGATTGCAGCTCTGTGGCTGTCTGTGAATAGCTGCGCTCAGATCTCAAACCCAGTAGAGTTCAAGACATTTGCTCACACTTGCCAAATGTGCTGTCATTTTTAAAGGGGGACGAGTTCCAAATACTTATCTGTGTAGTCCCCTAATAAGATGTTTTTTAAAATTATTTTCAGATCTATGTTAACCCTTAAATCACTGACACTTTTCCATAAGGAGGATTTATTTATGCTAGTTTGGGGAAGGATCCTGTTTAATTCACCCAAACGTAATGTGACTCAAGGGGTTTGTTTAATCCTCTGCGTTTTTTATCCATACGCCTTCATTCTAATATGCTACCAAGCCAATGAAGACACATAATATGTTTTTAAATAAGAGAACGAATGCACTGTGTCTCTATAAAAACAATTGTCAGTTGGAAAATTATAGCTAATATGATGATTTACATAATATAGTTTTTTTCATATTCTATGTGACTCAGTGAATACATATATATGTGGAGAGGCTGTTTATGTTCTCTCCGGTTTTTAAAGATATATATATATATAATTTGCAATCTAGAAATTGTGTGGTGGATGTTTTCTTTAAAGTGTGTGTGTGTGTGTGTGTGTGTGTGTGTGTGTGTGTGTGTATGTGTACAAGATGAGAGGAATACTGACCTTAATCCTTCAACCCTCACAACTGGTATTTTATTTTTCACCTGAGAAATTCCACTGATTTCAGTGGAAGCCGTGTGAGGAAGATGGAGTAGCCTCCCCTCCTGGATGCCACGTTTTGCCCTTAGATGTGGAAATAGTGTTCCTCTGGAAGGCTGGGTTATGGGAGCAGAGGCTGGCCAGCATTGAGCAACTCAAACTTTCATTCAGCTCCCCGGGAAGCATCCATGCAGGAGCAGATTTGGCTTTGCTCTTGCAATGCAGTCTTACCTAAGCCTGTAAAAATCATGGGGGAGCTTTCATCTGATTACAAGAAGCGTGGGGGTCAGGCTTATTTTGTATGCATATTTTTGTTTTCCAAAACATTCCTGCTGGGAAGGAATATAAATTGGTGGTGTTTGATGAATCTTTCCCCAGGAACCAGACCCATTTCCAATGGACTAAATGTCAGAAGGGTTTTAAGGGTTAGCATCATAACAAAAAGCTCCTTTGTTTGTTTGAGTTTTGAAGCTGTTGTGAACTTGAGGATGTTTAGAAAAGTAACCTGGCATGTTGAGTCAAATGCTGGATGTCACTTCCATGCAGCTGTTGGAGGGGCTGATCTTCCCCAAGTCCTTGTCCATTGCTGGCAATGGACACCCCAGAGTTGGCACAATTACAGAGGGTTGATAACTTGCCACTCTTGTTCAACACCTTTTTAGCAGACTTTACTTTTATCGAGGCATTGCAACATGGGTGTGGGGTATCAAACTGCTTCCACTTGACTGACTTTACGTGTGTCTTTGTAATTTATGCACAGCATTATATGTTCAGCAACAATAAGGGCAGGAAAAAAGGGTGTATCAAATAAACTCCACTGTGCCAAATACTCCACAAATATTGTAACTGCAGATATTTGATTCTTGGGTTTCAGCCATGTTAAGAATCACTTGATTGATGAAGGAGTTTAAGGAAAAAAAAAGGTTATTAAGCTATGCAGTGCCATTGTTACGCTGGGTGGTAAATGATGCTTTTTAGATCATTAGATTGGTTTAGTGTATCCTGTCTGCTAAAATAGAGATACTGCATCCATAAAACAATGAATTTACAAAAGGCACAGGGTGCATAACTGTCTCATAGAATATATATAATTGTCAAGTATAAGCCTTTGAAATCATTCTGTACAGTTCTCTTCCTTCTGCAGATTTATTACTTAGACTGCTGTCTTTTCAAATGTTAGCTCATAATTTTATACTATACACACACATTCAGACTCAAACACAAATGTCACAGAATAGAACCTTTCTAAAAGCCTGATTGCTTGAAATTCCATAACCCCTTTCACAATTTCATTATTTTCCCCTCTGAAAGTCCAAGGTGAAGGACAATAGCATGCTGACATGATGCAAAACAAACTCCCAGTGTTCACAAGCTGTGGTTTGTCGGTGCAGTTGAAAGTCCCCCTTGACCGGAGTTATAGAAGCAGGATTCCAGGGCACAGAATGTTTTAGTTTTTATTTTTGTTTGTTTTTTTTTTCATTTGATCTCTTCTCTTAGTATATATGGGAGATGCAGTTGAATGGGGTTACTTACATTATTTTTAAGCTGTAACTTGAAATTCCTATGTGATTGTTATTTTATTTCTTTTGATAATGCAGCTTTTGAAAAGCTTTCTCCTCATCCCACTCTTTTTTTTTCCCAAGGTTGTATCCAATGCCTGCATCGCGAAGGGCTTTGCTGTCAGTGCTTTGGTATAGATTTAAGAACAGAGCTTTAGTTTTAAGAAAATACACAGACCAAAACTTTCATCCATCTCAGCAGGCATTTTGGGTTTTTTTGATTTCAAAACCACAAGCCAGTTTTTCCTGCAACCCAATTTTTGTTATAGAATAACAAATTAAGAGTGTCACACATCCTCCTGCTTCCTAAATTGCAAGTATGAGCCTTTGCCTGTCAGCACTTCACTTCCATCCCTCAACTGCCTTAACAATGCAGGAAACTTAAGAGCAAGGATGGAGTTAGAATGGAATGGTGGAATTTTTTCCCCATATTCACAGGCATTGAAATTCAGGGGTTTGTTGAGACCTCAGTCTCAGCAGAAATGTTGTTTTGACATTTCCAAGCACTGTGTTCCCTGTGTGGCTGTCTGCTAAGCAATGGAATGTTTGAAAAAATAAACTACTTGAGAATCCCAGTCTCTCTGGGATTGCCCAATGGCCTTGTGTGACTTCAGGTTGGGGTTTCCTTTCCCTTGCACAGATCCCACCTTGGTGTAGCCCTGGTGGAATCAGAAAGGGACCCCAATCTAAAATTGGTGCAGATGACACTAGAATCATTTTCTTTGCACCCTTGTTAAAAAGGTGATGCATTTACAGAACCTTCTTTTTATACATACAGAAATCATCAATTTTTCTGACTTTGCCCAGCACATCTTGGATGTAGGATGGGCCCAAAAAGGCCATCACTTGAATTATCACTTGAATATCACAAACCTTCCATTCCTTGGGAATTCAGCTAACAGGGACCTCCCACTGCCATACCCCTGCAAGATGCACTGAACTCCTCTGTGCTGCTACAGTTCCTCTTGATTGGGTCTCACCTTGCTCAGAAGGTGAGAAGGGAAAGATGCAGAGAGGAATTAGCTTCCATTAGCTGAGTTAGCTATACTTCAAAATGCTTCTGAATTGAACTGATGGTCTGCAGACATTTGGAAAGTGATTGGAGTATTTCCAAATGGCTGAGATGCATTGACTTCTTTTTTCTTGAAAAAAAAAGAAAATTAAAATTAAGGGAATGAAAGAGATTTGGAGTCCCTCCTATCCCCATGAGAGTTTTAAGTTCATCACATTGCTGTTGGAGGCAATGTACTTAAGGTTCACCTTTGTGTCTCAGACAGACACACGTTTTTTCTCAGTAAAGGTGGTCCTAGGACACAGAAAGGCAACTCCATCTCACAATGAGCAGTTTCACTACAAAGCCAACCCAAGACAACCTAAAGGTTACCAGCTCTGTGAAGCTTTAGCCCCTGAGCCAGCCTTGGCTGTTGCTGCCATGTGAGTTTTCACAGCTCAGTGTGCTGGGCCTGGTATTTTCTTAAGACTTGGACATTCTTGCTTTGATATTGTTTTTATTCTTGGCAGGTGATGTGGGGAATTGTCAGTATAAAACATACATGTAAATGCTTCACTGAACTCATGTGATAACAGCTTTGTGTCTTTATTGACAAGGGTTTCCAGACTTATTCCTGCTTTGCCTTTGGACACAGCCATGCTCATCTATCCCCCTAATTTCATGTGAACTGTGTTTGCAGACAGAAGCAGTTTTTGTTGTTGTTCTCTCTCTAGATCTGATTAATACATGCAAAGCTCACAGGTTTTCTGTGCATAGGGCAGAGCACCCCTGTGTATAAGCAGTAATACTGACCTCCCATCTGCATTAGGAGTTCTGGCTTTTCTTACCTAAATCTGAGTTCACCTCTCCCAACATCCCATACTGCTGCTGGGACTCACCTGTTTTGTTGGAAGCAACTCCAGGAGACAGGTAGCCAAGACATAATTGGTGGGAACATAGGCAGCAGTTTATTAATATGGACAATCATGTGATGGGAGCCTTTGGCATGAGCCAGGCCCAGCTGCAGTTTTCTGATGGTTGAGATTGATCCAAGGAAAAAAAGACATTGTAACTGAGCCCTTTGGTGTCTCTGAAAGGATTATCCACCCTTCCATGCTCCTGGATAGCCCTGCCTCCCCCAGACCCATGGTTGGTGGGCATTTCTTCCAAACTGACCATCAGCTTCCTTTCTCCAGCCACAGTTCTTCCTTCCCCCGATGGCAAACCACAGCTCAGCAATACCAAGTCAATACAAGGCATTCAGAGTTACTGAGTGGCATTTACATTTACCTGGGATGCCAGCAGGTCTCAGTGTTACAGATGCTCAAAATATTATAGTTTGTTCTGCTTATATACACTACATCTATTTCTTCTAGGCTGCAAATTGTGTTTTCTATCATTCCATTGACATTTCTAGCCAATCTGAGTCTTAATACAATTACTTTGCTGAAAAATGGCCTTTCAGCAGATCTTAGACATGAGGTACTAGTGATGCCAAGTAAAATCTTTGGCCACTGTCTGTTCCCTGAATCCAGTGGAGCAGGAGGAAGCTCTGCCTGCTCAGAAGCAATACTGGTATTTTCTGTGGCAGAGTATGAAAATGGACAGCTTTTCTTTCAGCTTTAGTCTTGTCACAGCTGCTCGTCTATGAGCATCCCTTGGTCCCAGGACACAGGGAATTCAGGAGAAGCCACGTGGACAGAGGAATCCATTTAGATGGCTGAACAAGGAGGACCATAGGATGTTTGTAGTGTTCATGCTGTTTTGCTTGTCAGAACCTTTTTTCAGTCTCTGTTTGTTTGATGAATGGAGTGACCCCAGGAATGGGGTCTTTGGAGTACAATGAATTTGTGATATTTACCCCACTTTATTCAGATTAAGTGTGGCAGAGAAGGGTGTCCCACCCTAGGAAGGAAAAGATTAGCCATGCCCTGACAGTTTGTAATGCTGGGCTTGTTCTACACAAAGTTGGTGTCTGCAAATTGCAGAAAGCAATAAGAAACTTGTCAGCTCCAACTCAGCAAATAATCTATAGCAACTTCATAAATGAATTTTCCCTTTTATTTTTTTCTTGTGAATTGCCGAGAGAACCAAGAAAATGCTTCCAAGTGTATTTGCAAGGTCATTTCTGCATATCATCTGTGGTCTGGAGGGGTTGGAAAAGCTTTCTTGTAATTCATACACGTTGGTTTGTTCTGGCTGGACATAGAAATCACACGGGATATTTCTGCTCCCTGAGTTCCCTATACAGGAATTTTCTCATCTGTACAAATGTTTAGTTCAGAAGTATGGGATCAGGAATTGAGTAGGAGGAT